GACTCTGTCTCAAAAAAAAAAAAAAAAGCTGGGGTCTAAGTTCCTTCCCCATGCACTCTGATTGAACCAGCTCATGTCTCTCCACATTGGTCATCTGGTTCCAAACAGCAAGGAGCACTGGGGAAAACGCAGCCCAGGGCATAGAAAACAGTGGGCGTTCTGAAGCCATTATTTGGAGTCTAAGCCTCATCTCTGCCTCTCACTGGCTGTATGATCTCAGGCTGGGACTTTACCCTCCCTGAGCCTCAAGGTCGCCATCCGTAAGATATGCTTCCCTCCCAGAAGGCGCTGGGGATGGGTGATTGTACATGTAAACCTTCGGCTGCCTCTGATTCCCAGCAGGTAGGCTAGGCTCCAGGACCACCTGTCCCCTCTAGGGAGTCCAGATGTGAGTAAACAAGGGTAGGGAGGCTAGCCCCCCAGACGCAAGCAGCCTTGGATCCACAGTACCAGCTTTGGGGGCTATTCTGGTCCCAATTCAGAATTCTTGGCTCCTGGCTCAATGGGCTTTGTCCCAGAGATGTAATTTCTATTTTGATTCCATGTGACATTTAATGAAATGGCTTTCAGACACCACGCAGTGTCTGAGTTATGAAACCACAACTTCCGGATCTTCAACGCACCTCACGATGACAGGACCCCTCTTGCTGCTTCCAGAGCTGCCCCAAGTCTCTTGAAGCCTGGGTGAGGACTGCCAAGGTGGCATCTTCACTCCAGAGTCCCTGCCCCAGGCCCACTGCCTGGCACTCGTGTCTCTCTCCTGGTTAGACTCTGACTGACAGCAGCCCCTGCCTGGGCTCCTGCCTCAGTCTCCCGCTTGCCAATCCAGTGTGCTGTTCTAACTGCAGATCAAAAATATTCAGGGAGACAGGAAGCCAATGTAGAGGCTTGCAAACAGCATTGTTCAAAGAACAAATGAGCCGGAATAGAAGCAGAACAGAACACACCAGAAGGAGCTGCACACGGCAAGGGCGACTGCGACTCACAAGCCCAGGATGTCAGTATGCACGCTAGGTCTCTATTTGCGTGAACCGGAGGAAATTTTGAATGACACTGCTCTAACCCACCACCAGGCCACTCCCCAGTTACAACTTTTAGGATGGACTTCAGACCCCTCCTGAAAACCCCTCCAGACCTGGCCCCTGTCTACCCACCCACCTGGCCCACAGCCGGCCCCCACAACACTGAGCTGCTGGCTTCTGCAAACTCTGCCAGGAGCTCCCACACCTGCCTGGAATGCAAGAGCCTCCCTCCTCCCACAGGCCTCCTTCCCACAGCCTCCACTCTCCCACAGACTCCTATCAATCCTTCACCTTTCAAGGGAAGGGCCACCTCCTCTGTGGTGTCTCCCTGATTCCCAGCCTTGGGGGGTCCCGACCCATGCTCATGCTCCACTTGCACACTTTGCATAACGCCATCACCCCTGCCAGCCTGGGGGTCACTATTGCTTCCATGCCTCCCTGCCCTTCCCCAGTGGACAGCCGGGACTTCCCTCTCGGGGGCTGGCTAAGCCCCTGGGTGCTCGCTGTGGTACCATTTGCTGACAGCAAGTGTGGGCTGACACTGGGACCCCTCCCAGGTGACCCTCTTCACATGCTGACCCTCCCGGGGCAAAGATGATCTCCTAGGTTCTATAGAAGCAAAGATATAAATATTTCTGGAGCCCTTCCGTTCCAAAGGAAGTGAAAGTCCTATAATTTCTCAACAACTTGGCTATTAAAAATAGGAATTCCACCTACACGCCGGAACAGTTTGCCGGGGATGGTGGAAGGGCCAGAATCGTGAGGTCACACATGTTTTCAGAACTGAGAAAGCTGCTGGGCCCAGACGCTGAGCGCTGTCAGAAGGCAGGCAGCTGTCTACAGCTGGTGCTACAGCCCCGAGGCCCCAGAAATCTCTAGAACCACAGGGACGCCAAATGGTACTCTGCCAAGAGCTTCTCAAAACTCACTTCCCCACCACATTGTGAACATCTGCACAGCACAGGTTCCAAAGAAAACTGAAAAGGAAATCATGCATCAGCAAGCAGATATGACACCTCACCTTCGACCTCGGAAGTGTGGGAGATGCCTTGGGCCCGGCTCCTGCTGCCACCTCCTTCCACTTCCGTCCTCAGAACACAGTCCCGGGCCAGCCCAGAGCTGGGGTCCCCTGAGGATTCAGTCTTCCGTGTTCATCTTCTGGCCCTCAAGGCCTGAAGCTCCATCCTTCCACCACCCCTTTAGGTTACAGGAGAGTCCTCAGCAGGCGCTGTGCGTGAACAGTGACGGCGAGGCGGGCATGCATTCTGTCAGCATCCACAGCCACTCGAGAGACAGCCTGAGTGGAGACAGGAGAGGAGGGGGAAGGGGAAGAAAGTGGGCAGAAGGGCCAGGCACGGTGGCTCATGCCTGTAATCCCAGCACTTTGGGAGGCTGAGGCAGGCAGATCACGAGATCAAGAGATCGAGACCATCCTGGCCAATATGGTGAAACCCCGTCTCTACCAAAAATTCAAAAATTAGCCAGGTTGTGGTGGTGCGTGCCTGTAATCCCAACTACTCGGTAGGCTGAGGCAGGAAAATCGCTTGAACTCAGGAGGCAGATGTCGCAGTGAGGCGAGATTGCACCATTGCACTCCAGCCTAGGCGAGAGAGCGAGATTCTGTCTCAAAAAAAAAAAAAAAAAAAAAGTGGGCAGAAAGTGGGCAGAGGAAGCAAGCCCCACTGATGCCCCCCACTCTGCGGGCCAGAGGCTCCAGTCATGGTCTCAATAGGCCCCGCCAGTGCAACCCGCATGTTCCCGCGTCAGACACAGCAACTTCCCCTGAGGGTGACTTACTCGCTCATGCATTCAACAACACTACGAGTGCCCAGCCAGGTGCCGGCTGAACCCACAGTGAGGACATAGACCCCATCCCTGCCCACAGGGCACTCACAGCTGGAACAAGCCATCAGAAGCATGTATCATTCTATACGCTTTTGATAGCAGGAAAAAGTGGAGTGCTAAACACCCGGGGCCATGAGGGCAGGGAGGGGCCCGAATCTGGCCTCACTGGGTCTGAGGAGGCTGCTAGGGAAAGTCACCTCTAAGTTGCGACCTGAAGGATCAGGAACGGGTGGGTGGGGACAAGGTCCAGGGTAACAGAACAGCCTGTGTGAAGGCAGGAGGCTGGAGGATGTTGTGTTTAAGAAGCTCAGGCTCAGGGAGGTTCAAGGCAGAGGTGACCCGGGAGCCCGCAGGTACCTGGGCTCAGGTAGGGCAGAGAGCTGCGGTGAGGGAAAGGGGCTCACACGGCACAGCCACACGGTCTGAGGTGCTGCCCGAGAGACCGTTCCAGATGCTCTGTGTGCAATGGTCTGGGGGAGGGGGAAGGCGAGGGGGAGGGGAGCCTGGCCATGCTGGGGGCCTGAGCCCTGGAATAGGAGGGGGATCTCAGGACCGCACTGCCTGGGGCGTGCGGCGAGGGGAACGGGAGGCTGAAGGCTCCCCCGCCTGGCCACACGTAGAACAGCAGGGGCTGGCAGGGCCTGGATTTCTGCCGCGCGGGGATCGGGCAGGGGTGCGTGGGGGCGCTGTTCACTGAGGTAGGGAACAGCAGGTGATAGGCCCAGCAAGCCACCTCCAAGGCGGCGCCTCTTCCCCCACCGTGCAAGTTGCCATCATTTCTCACCTGGAAGCTGCAACCGCCTCCCACTTCCACTGGCGCACCTGACACGCAGAAGCAGGGGTGTCCCTTTCAAGACGGAAGGCTGATCAGACCTTCCCGAGCCTCTCGTCCCCTTAGAAATGAAATCCAGACTCTTTACCTGGGTCTGCAGACCTGCCATGTACACACCCTCTCCCCTCTGACCCGCCCATCTCCCAGCCCTCACTCTGCTCTGACCACTCACAGACGCGCCTGCTACAGGGCCTTTGCTCTTGGCCACTCTCTGCCTGAAACACGCTTTCCTCCCCTAACCATGTGGTTGGTCCCCATTTCCTGCGGTTTCCTCTCGTCTCCCCACATAAAAGAGAACAGGGCATCGCCCGCCCCTTCCTCCCTGCTTTCCTGGTCTTCGGAGCTTGTCACCCTCTGACTCACCACACTCTGGGCGGGTGATGGTCTCTGTCTCCCCGAGGGCGTGGACTCCATCTGCTCAGCACTTCCTGGACTCCCAGCACCTGCCGCAGAGAGCACAGGACGGCTCAGTGACTGTGTGCTGGAGCAGCCGCCTCCCAGCCCGCGACCCGGGCTATAGCCGACTCCCGTGGCCTTTTTCCCATGCCTGGAACGGTACCCCACCCTCACCTGCTCTTTCCTTCCCAACAAGAACAGGTCGAGGGCTCTTGCCCTCCTTCCAGCCACTCTTCTTCCCAGAGCTAATCACATCCTCCTCCCTCCATGTGAGCTTGGAACCCTTAAGCACATGGGCTCTTGACTCCAAAACCAGACACCAGGCCTCCTCCATTCCAGCACAACCACAGATAATATCCGATGTCCACCACTGCCCAGGCCTCTGCTGGCAGTGACCAAGGATGCAGAAGCAGAAGATGCACGCCCGCGAGGGCTGCCAGTCTCCCCGGAGAGGACACGCTAACATGGGGACGACATCCTAGCACAGCACAAGATGCATGTCAGTGAATGGAGCTAGGTGGCACCAACTCTCTGAAGCTCCGAATGGAACACAGGGGTCGGGGGTGGGGTGAAGGGAAGATGGGATAGGAGGTGACAGTTTTGCCACCTGCAGACTTAACACGAGTCCCAGAGCACATAGCTGGTCAACAGCAGAGCTGAGCCTGGCTGGGTCCATCAGGCTCAAAGCCAGAGGTTTCTGAACTCAGAATGCCCCCCACTGGCCAACTCCTTTGGACAGAAGCAACTGACTCCCACCTCACCACAAAATCCCAGACTCCTAAGCAACTTCCAGAGGCTAAGCACAATAGTGGGCAGACACACAACTCACAACATGGGGCCCTGCACATACATGACAGCAACATAGGCAAGACGCAGCCCCAGCCCCCGGCTCACAGGAGCTTGGGCCACCAGCCTCCACATGCCCAGAATACCTTCCCCTAACCCTGGTCCAGAGCTCAGGGTCCCTCTGCCTACCGCCTTCCAGGGACCCAGAACAGTCTTCTGCCTGGGTAGCTGCTTCCCCCAGTGGCTGCGAGTGCTCATCAACACTTATTATAAGAACATTATAGGAGCATTTAAACAGAAAAATAGAATAGAAAGAAAAACTGCTCTCTCCCAACCCGCCCAAGGCACCTCTTCATCTCTCCACGTGGGACACCTTCCTCTCTATCCATATGTACACATTTTTATGACAACATAACCACAGTGTACCCATCATTTTATGTTCTGCTATTTTATCATTTTCCTGTAAACAGCTTTCCATGTGTTTAAACCTGATCTGCATATTCCTCATCTAGAGTGAACTGGTTAGCACTCCGTTAATAACCAGCTCTCTGAGTGGGCACTCGCTGGCTCAGCCACCACCGATGCCACGCACTACCTTTCCATCAGCTCCACTACGGACCCCTCGGAGCTCATCAAGCATTTTCCATAAAGACAAATAGAAAATACAGGCCACAGCAGCTATTCTAGTCTGTTATCCGTGGTGAAGGCAGCCACACACCATACAAACAAGTGTGGCTGCGCCCCAACAAAGCTATTTATGGGCCCTGAAATTTGAATTTCATAGAATCTTCATGCAACACGAAATGTTCTTTTGATTTTTCAGACACATCCCCAGCTTCCAGTTTGTACAAAACCACACAGGAACCCGATCTGACCCACTGGCTGTTTCCTGACCCCCGGCCTTAGTACTTCTGTTCCACTAACATTGGAGGATCCAGGAGTGGGGAAGGAAAGTCCTAGAAAGGAGTGAAGGGGGAGGGCGGAAACTGAGGAAGCGAAGGAAGGCCCAACAGACCACTCTCTGTGTTCCAGAAAGTTCTAGGTCTTGTTTCCAATTCCCAAGGGCCGTGGGACAGTCAACTCTCTGAAACTCCCTGAACAGAGGAAAACTGAAGCCTGGGACCAGAGAGATGGCTCAGCACCTCATTTTCCCAATGGAGGGGAAGGGTCACCAAGAGAGATGGGGAAAGAGCAGACTCCAATCCGCTAACTGTCCTCTCCTCCGCCCCCACCAAGGTGGTGATTCCAGCCTTTGACACCCCCGCTTCTAATCTGCTTGTCACCAGCTCACAGTGGCATAAGTCCCCTCCAGACAATGCCCCACGAATCTTTTTAATGACAAGCGGCCTAAAATGCCAGGAAAGCTCCTTCTGAAATGAAAATCAAACTTCTCTCTGCGAGGCAGACCCATCCTCTGCTGCCCTGGCAATCTAAATCATCTCTTAGAAATAAGAGCCAGTGCCTTTGCCAATAACTTCTACTTTAGATGTGCCAGATCAAACCCAGAGACAGAAAGTGGCCCAGTGGCTGCCCGGGGCTAAGGCAGTGGAGGGGAGACAGGGCGTGACTAATGGACACAGGCTCTTTTTGGGGTGGGCAAAATGTTCCAACTGTAGGGATGACTACCGGTACCCGTGAATATACTAAACCACTGAACCACACATTTTATTACTATTTTCTTTTTATTTTTTGAGTCAGAGTCTCGCTCTATCGCCCATTGCATTGGAGTGCAATGGCACAATCTCTGCTTACTGCAACCTCTGCCTCCTAGGCTCAAGCAATTCTCCTGCCTCAGCTTCCCAAGTAGTTGGGATTACAGGTGGCTACCACCATGCCTGGCTAATTTTTCCATTTTTAGTAGGGTTTCACCATGTTGGCCAAGCTGGTCTCAAACTCCTGACCTCAAATGAGCCACTCGCCTCGGCCTCCCAAAATTCTAGGATTACAGGAGTGAGCCACCACACCTGGCCAAAAGCCATACAGTTTAGATGGGCAAACTGAATGGCATGTGAAAAAAGTTATCAAAGCATGCCAGGCACTTTACTCATATAAATTCTCACAAGCCCATTTAGCCTGGATTGCAAATCCTAGTTCACAGAGCAGGGATGTGACCTCCCCAACCATTTTATAAGTAGTGAGACTGGCTCCAAGGGCAGTTAGTTTTCCAAAATGGAGGTGACAGGCCAGGCATGGTGGCTCAGGTCTGTAATCCCAGCACTTTGGGAGGCTGAGATGGGCAGATTACTTGAGGGCAGGAGTTCGAGACCAGCCCGGCCCACATGGTGAACCCATCTCTACTAAAAACACAAAAGTTGGCTGGGTGCAGTGGCTCATGCCTATAATCCCAGCACACTGGGAGGCCAAGGCAGGCAGATCACCTGAGGTTGGGAGTTCAAGACCAGTTTGACCAACATGGAGAAACCCTACCTCTACTAAAAACACAAAATTAGCTGGGCACAGTGGCACATGCCTGCAATCCCAGCTACTCAAGAGGCTGAGGCAGGCAAATCACTTGAAACCAGAAGTCAGAGGTTGCAGTGAGCCAAGATTGCATGATCGCACTCCATCTCAAAAAAAAGGCAGGAGGCAGAGAGGTGATGGTTCCTAAAGTCAGCCCTTTGCTGCAGCGGCTCCTGTGCCAACAGGATTTGGAAGGGACCTACATCAGTCCAGGGGAAGGCCAGAGCAGCTGCAAGACCTATTCCAGCCCTCCAAAGCAAACCTCTTCTCATCTCGTCCTGGCACCCCATCTGGAGGAGAGGCTAGACACCCCCACCACCAAAGCAGAGAGGGAAGACTCAGAGAGGCTAAGGGCAGGCCTCAGCCAGGCAGCTTCTGCCCAAAAGGCTTTCTGGAAACTAAAACCTCCCCATTTTCCAAGGTAAGTCACTGCTTCCCACTCACCCCATTCCTAAGCATGGGGATCCATCCAGGCATGTGAGTGCCTGTCCCTAGACTTTCCTTCATGGCCATAAGCTACCTTTCTAGCATAGTACCCAGGGCATCACAGTCCTGTGACACTGACTTGGGAGTCCCAGGTAGAAGCAAATTGGAAGTAGCCCCACTCATGATGTACACAGTAAGAGAGCCCCTGGTCCTATTAGGGCAGGATTCCCACAGCCAGTGACAAGGGGCAAGGCAGAGCTTACCCTCCCCCACTACCACAGTGAAGTGACCAGGGAGGAAGGGCAGGCTGAAGGTGGGCATGACCAAACCCTTCCACATGGCTCACTGGCCAGCTGGTGGTTTCAGGACCCATTCCTTGAGTGGACAAGCATGAGGTCAGCAAGTGTGGGCTCTTCCGTCGAGAGGGGCACGTGCAGTGAAGGGACAAATATGGACAGGTTCAAGTTCTGGTTGACCACTGGTTTTTGTGCAGGCCAGTCCTCTGTGAGACACATGGCCTCCAAGCCTCCCGGCCACATCTGTAAAATGGGGGCGAGCATCTCTGCCCCAGGGTGGCTGTGCAGATCAAGTGAATTCTGTTGGGGTGGGACTGACTGCATGTGGCAGGAAAATCAACCCTATCCTATCAGGAATGTACTGATTCACTTCAGTGAGACATCCGAGGTGGGCTTCAGGAATCGCTGGACTCAAAATGAATGTCATGAGGCTTCAGCCTCTCTGCAGACCAGCTCTCCTCTCCTCAGAGCGGAGGCCCCACTCTTGGACAGGCCTACTGTCATGGGTGCAGCCTCCCTTCTCCCCACCCCCACAAAGTAAAAGCCTTTAAGTGTGGCTCATGGGTCCTGCTTGTATGGAATCTAGAATCTCAGAGGCTATGGTCAGGGCATTTGTTTTTAAGAGTGGGTCTTGCTCTGTTGCCCAGGCTAGAGTGTAGTGGTGCAAACATGGCTCACTGCAGCCTAGACCTCCTGGGTTCCAGTGATTCTCCTGCCTCAGCCTCCTGAGTAGTGGGGCTGCAGATGCATACCACCACACATAGCTAATCTCTCAAAATTTTTCTGTAAAGATAGGGTCTCCTTATGTTGCCCAGGCTGGTCTTGAAATCCTGGCCTCAAGCAATCCTCCCAGTGTTGACATCACAGGCACTAGCCACCACGCCCAGCCACACCTCTAATAAAGTACAACAGGGTGTCAAGCAGCAGCCTCTAGGGGAGAGGATGCCTTTTCAAGACCACACCCACACCTGACACAGATTCCATTGAGGAAGATTCCATCTTGCCAAAGCTTGGAAGGACAGCACCCTACACGGTGGAGGCCCACCCACACTCAGGAGGGCTCAGCCTGCCCCAGACTAAG